GCGGGGAAGCTGGACCAGCGGCGGCTCAACTGTGGTTTCCGGAACAGTTGTGGCATCACGGCCCAGGCTGCTCATGCTTCTCCTGATTCCTTCCTAACAGCTTTGTTGAGATATAACTGACGTACGAGAAACTGTGTGTAACGGAAGTCACAATTCAGTGAGTTTGGACGTCTGCGTACACGTGTGAAACCATCACCACGGTTCAGAAAGTGAGCACACCCACCGTCCTCCACTTGGGACCACCTACCCCATCAGAAGCCTGTCCTGGTGGATTCCTGAATGACGTCTGTGTTAACCTAGTTGCTTGTCTTTGTTTTAGTTGAGAACTTCGTGAAGACACAAAATGATCAGTTGATGGGCAATGAGGCCACACCAGGAAATGAACTGTGCGGTTTGCCACGCACTCTGCCCCAGTGTGCGTCTTTGACTCGGTCCTCAGGGAGCTGGACGTGCTTCACCAGGAGTGGCTGCCCAAGGCTGTCGGCAGCCCCTTCTGATCAGCCGGGTCCCTCCTGTGTACCCACCATGTGCCAGGCATGGTCAGCAAGCTGTGCAGGGGATTGGCACCCAAACACAGGGGGACCATCCCTGGGACAGGAATTCGAGCATCAAGGATGGCGCAGGAGGGGACGGTCAAGGGGACCGTCCTTGGGGAGGGGAGGGGCTTATGGAAACCTGCTGGAGGGGATGGAATGAGGTGGGGCTGTGGGCAGGACAGATCATGAGACAGATAGGCCATCGGGTTAGTATTCCACGATAATTGAACACGAGATGTGTCTCTGGCCCTACATTTGGTGTTGGGCGGGAGGCCCAGAGGAAGCCTGAGGACCCCGTGGCTCAGAGCTCGCAAGGGAAGACCCAGACACATGAGAACACTGGGGGCTGAGACTTCTAAGTGGTCTCAACACAGCCAGGGGCATGGGAGGGAGTTTTCCTTAACCCAGCACTGTGTGCTCTGAGCTGCTGTCCATCAGAGACCTCCCTGGAGCCATGTGTGCTGCCCCCAGGCTTCATTGCGGTCCTTGACTGCGTAGCACCGGCTGGGCTCCCCCTTGTTGACCCCTCTCCCATCACACTATGTAAACTGTCACTTGACCACTGACAGAACCTTTAGCAAACACACTTGCAGCTCCAGATAGAATGCCAGGCAGATGCGTGCCCACGGCCACATTTAATCTTCACCCCCAAGGGCCTCCTGAGCTGGGAGTAGCTAGTTGTAGCTAAGCCTGTCTATGTAGGAGAACTCGGAGGCCCAGGGAAGTGTCATAACATGTCCAAGGTCGCCCAGCTGGGAGGTAGCAGAGACCTGGCCGTGGGGCATCTGGTTCCGAAAGCCTGTTCTGCCCTCCCACCCAGAACAGTGCTGTGTCTCTTTAAGCAGCTCATCTGTACTCTAGGGACAAGATTCTGTGAGTGGGTCTAACGGCAGGGTCAGCCAGAGAGATGGAGCCCCTAGGAGACAGATTTTCAGAGGTCCGTTGCAGAGGCTTGGCTGGTGGTATGTCAGGGATGGCTGGGAGTCAGAACTCCCCAGGGCAGGCTGTGGGAGCTCTCAGGCAGGAGCTGAACCTTTAACTTTGCACAGGTGTCTCTTGGGGTCTCTGTCTCTGGAGAACCCTGGCTGATACAACTGTTTTCCTGCTGCTCAACATCCTCCTTAACACTTGCTATGGTCAGTCTAATTGTAGCCATCCTTGTATGCGTGTGGTGGTATCTCATTGTGGTTTTCATTTGGATTTTCCTGAAAATTATACTGTTGAGCACCCTTTCCTGTTCTAATTGGCCATCAGTAATCTTTTGTCAGGGATTTGCTTTTAAATACACTTTTTCTTGTTGATTTGTAGTAATTCTTTATTGGCAAGTCCTTTAGTTTGTGTATTGCAAATCTTTACTCCCAGTCCATGCATTGCTTCTCATTTTCTTAATGGCCATGAGATAAGCAGAAATGGCACATTTTTATGGAGTCCAATTCAATCCTTTTAAATAGTGCATTTTATGTCCTACCCCAGGACTGATATTTTCTACATTTTTTCCCCTAGAAATTTTATAGGTTAAGGCTATGATCCATCTCAAATTTCTAAATTCCATTTTTAATTCTAATAATTTATCTGTAGATTATTTTGGATTTTCTATGTACACAATCCTATTATCTGGGAATAGTCATATTTTCCCACCTCAATCTTCATACTTTTTGTTTTTCTTGCCTTATAACACTGGGTGGATTCTCCAATGCAATTTGAATAGAATAGTGATGTTTGAAGATTTTCACACACTTTTCTCAATATCTGGTAGAAACAGTAGATGAAACATTGGTAACAAATATGGCCAAACTGACATATATGGAACATTACATAATACGTGCAGAATACATTCTTCTCAAGTGCTCATAGAACATTTACCAAAATACACGGTATGCTGGGCTATGAAGCAAGTCTACAAATTTTAAAAGCCTGAAATTATATAGATTATATTCTCAGACCGCAGGGGAATTGAGTCATAATCATAATGAAAAGAAAACTAAAAAGTCTTCCAATTTAAAAATTAAACCTAACTTTTCTAAGTCTCCTAAGGGTCAGAGAGGGAATCACAATGGAAATTCTTAACCTTTCCCACATCAGGGCTCACAGACAATGGTATTCTACCCGTGAAGCGCGCTCACTATCATAAGCTAGATAGGAGTTAAGCCTCAAATCAGAGTTCTGCCTGCCCCAGCCACACCCGGCAGCCTTGGCCTGTGGTCCCCCCCAGCTGCCCTTTCTGGTGCCCCGAGCTAAGGGGGTCAGCATGGCCATATGGGATGGGGAAGCTCCAGTCTGTACTTCTAGTTATGATGGTGCTACTGTATTGTCCTCATAGGTCCAAAAACACAATTTCCGAGGGCAATATGACACAAAAATGTGTCATATTTCACTTTGTGATTGTCCTTAAGTTTTTGAAAATAAGCTTGTGAGCCATCTATTAGAAATGTTGATTCAATCTGTTTTCATTCTTCTGGGAAAATAAATGGACCCAAATGATTATTATGACTACTGAGCACCTGCTCTTACCAGATGTCACATGGGCTCTTTGTAGAGTTCTCCCTTTTGAACTTCTAAACTGAGATGTAGATATGATTAGTCATATTTTTAGATGGTTAGGGACTGTGTAAGTCACACAGGATTTTTATCAGGGTCAGAAACCAAAGTAGGATCCCCAAATGGACTCCAAATCCCTTGTTTATTCTACACACGGTACTATTTTCCTCTTACCTCAGGTCTTCCTGATCTGGAAATGTAACAAGTGTGTGGCAAACTAAAACTAATTCAGCTGGCCTTTTTACCGCTGTCCATCATGGCCATTAAGATAATTATCTGGGTGGAAGAACTTTGAGTAAGGTACTAAAAAAACCCCTAGGAATAGAGACATTCTAATATTTTTCTGATATTAAAGTCATGGGAAGGAAATGTATTTTGTCATTGATTCAGCCCTCAGTATTTTCACAGTGGGCAGTAAAGACAGGTCCAAAATAGTATTTATAAAAATAGCCTGTTCCACAAAATGAGCAAATGCTAGCAATAAATACTGCTAAAACATTCCCTTACCTACTATTATTTACTTCCCAACCCCTGTAGTCTTTACATATTATGACTGATTTACATCAGTCAAAATTTGCAGGGAAAGACATTATACAGAACATCTGAGCTTTAGGGGTACTTAATGCTTAAATTAACTGTGACAATTTGCTACTTTGTTTTATTCTAGAAGCCCAGTGAATGGGGACAGAGATCTCTAAGATGTGTGGCAGTTCTAAAATTCTGACTTTAAATTACTTCTATGACTCAGAGATTTGGGCAGGAGCAAGGGAGGAGTCCAGTGTCTGTGAACACCTCTGTTACCTGTAACCAGGTAACATTCTGTAGGTGTCATTGTGGCTTCTTTGTATTCTTAGGATACTTTTGTCCCAAATTCCTCCCTTTCAGTAGTAATTATAACAATAATCCATTTTCTTTTTAAATGATAAAATAAATGCTGCTGGTTAACAACAGCACAGAGGACGACGGTCTTGTTCATGCTGGACCCTCCGGTGCAGACCCAAGCATATGCGTGTATCTTCAACCACAAACAGACTCACAGTATAAGGATGCTTTGAGAGCCTAAGAAGCACTTAGCCATTCCAAGGGTGAAACCAGAAGGTGAGCCTCTTCCTTCTTAGAGCACTACTTTAGGCGCTTAAAATTGCCTGGGAAATGTGTGACATCCTTGCATATGCTAACGCCCAAGCCTTGGCGGGTCTGAAAGCAGCTGACCTTCTGCAGAGCCAGGACCGCCCCTGCTGGCAGGCCTAGCTCCCGAAAGGACCAGGCAGTGCTCTGGGGGTGGTCTGCAGCCCCAGGGGTCCGCGGGATAGGGCGGGTATCTGGGGGGGGGGGGGAGTCCTGACCACCGACCCCACCCACGTGCGCGCAGCCCGAGAGTCACAGGAAGGGTCAGGAGTCTGGGGGATCCAGCCCACGACCCCGCCCACGCGTGCGAGCCCGAGGGTCCTCGGGGAAGGGCGCGTGCCTGGGGGGGGTTTCGCCCACCGAAACCTCCCACGTGTGCACAGCCCCAGGGTCCGCTGGAAGGGCCGGGTTGGGGGGAGGGGGGGTCCCTGCCTACGACCCCGCCCCCGCGTGCATAGCCCGAGGGTCAGCAGAGAGGGCCAGGAGTCTGGGGGTGGGGGGTCCTACCCATGACCCCGCCCACACGTGCAAGCCGGAGGGTTGAACGGCAGGATATCTGGAGGGCTCTGCCCCCCACCCCCCGCCCACGCGTGCGCAGCCAGGCGGGGCGTTGGGCTTAGGAGGGGCCGCGGGCGGCCACGTGGCCCCGCAGGAATGCGCGGGCGTGAGGGTGGAGCGAGGCCGAGGACGGGCAGGCGCGGAATCCAATGAGCTCCTGGCACCGTCTGATCCGACCACTCAGGGCGTGGGGGTGGAGCTGCCTCCCTGTGGGCGGGGCCGGGGCGCATCCCCTGGCTGCAGAAGCGGGGCAGGGTGAGGGGCGCTCAGAGGGACGGCGGGCGGGGGTCCTGGCTGGGTGAGTGCGGGCTGGCGGGCCGGGGTTCTTGAGGGGTGAGTTCGGGCCTGAGGGTGGGGATCGCGGGGGGACGGTGCGGGCCGAGGGGCCGGAGCGGGGGCGGTCTGGGTGGGGGCATGAGTTTTGGGGGGAAGCTAGGGTTGCGGTGGGGAGGGTGCGGGCCCGGGTGTGGAAGCGGGGGTCCTTGAAGGGCGAGTCCAGCGAGTTAATCGCAGGGCTTCGGACGAGTTTTTTTTTTTTTTTTTTTTTTTTCCCTTTGAAAGTCTTGCTGAATGCTCCCGAACTCGCTCAATCCCGCCGATCTGTGGATTTTGGGCTGCCCGCCGCCCGAGGTTTGCGGGTCAGGGCGCCGACAGCTCGGGGAGTCCCTTGTTTCCCAGGAACAGTGTAGATAACGGACCCAGCGTAGCCCCCAGCTTCAGTGGGGTGTCCTCTTAGCTCTTCTGAGCACAGACTGCGCAGGTAACGGCCCGTGTGCAGCTCCCCAACTTCAGAAGTGTGTCCCTTGTGCCCTTGGGCACAGACAGTGCGGGTGAAGGACCACAGGCAGCCTCCCAACTTCAGTGGGGTGCCCCCTGTCCCCTGGCACGGACAGTGCAGGTAATGGGCCCCTGAGCAGCACTCCAACTTCAGGGTGTCCCCCATAGCTCCTGGTACAGACAGCGCAGGTAACAGACCATGAGCAGCACCCCCAAGTTCCCAGCTCCGGGTCACCCACAGGTGTGGCAGTAACAAGCCCATGAGCAGCACTCCCCAACTTCAGCGTTGTGCCCCGTGTCCGCAGGGGTGGTGGTGTTAGGCTGTCACGATGGTGGGGTAGGGTCCTTCCTCCAGGTCGGGGCCTGGAGGCTGAGTAAACCAGACCCCACTCAAGTTGCATGAGAAATGAGGAGCTGAGGTGTTTATTTGGAAGAGTTATTTCCCTTTTCCTATAAAGACAAAGTCATTAGTCTACTTTAGAATGAAGGTAATTGCTACCTAAAAAATAAGTATGTTTCCCCTTCCCCCAGAAACTGAAGCAGGTGTGCAGGCCACAGGTCAGGAGGTGCCTACTTATTCCCACCTGGCCACACTTTTCTGTGAGACCTGAAGTTTTGAACATAAACACTTGAGTAAATGATTCAGCTTGTCACAGGGCATCAATGTTCAGAAAAAAACAGCAGATATATTGGATGTAATGTGCTATTCATGTCCGTGACTCACTTTTGCTAGAGGTAAAACTTCTCATTAACCCAAAACCTCATGGGCTCTTCTCTTTTCTCTAGTTGAGTCACAAAGGAAGACTTAAGTAGCTGTCAGCATTCTGGATTTGGTGCAAGAGTTACTTAGTTTCCCTGCAGGTAGAACATTGCAGGGTGTAACATTTTCTCTGTTCTTTTATTGCTTACAAAATGTATTTTGAACATCTGTTTCCTAGGAAATAACTTTTATTAGGGAAGATGAGAATTACTCTGTGTTTTTAAAATATAATTTGCTCCTTAATGTAACAGCATTTATTTGATTGGCCGGAGGATATGATTTAGTGGCTAACATCTAGGCTTAGGTGTATTGTGTCTTTTTGTCATCAGATACAGACTTTGATGATGTCTTGTCATTTGTCTAAGGTTCTCTTTTGTAATTGAGGAGTCTTTTCATCAAAAGAGTTACAATTAGGGTAGATGAAAATTCAAAAATAATCAGGATAGCCTTTTACCTTTTAAAAGTTGAGCTTGACTTTTTAATTTTACTCTAAGTATCATCTTGATATTTTGAGGTACTATATTTTCTCTGTAGTTCCTTTTGTGATGAAGTCAGGAGGAAAGTCTTCGGGAATTCTGGATAGAGGCATGCTGGTGGCTTCAAGGGGTCTGGTGAGAGGAGCCCTGGATTGAGTTCTGGAACTGCTTGCCTGACCCTGGGTGAGTCAGGTTATCCCACAGAGCTTCCGTTTACTCTTTATGAAATTGTTGGAAAGTAATATCTATGACTGTTTATATAGAAACTGTTCTGCCTAATGAAGAGCAACTAAAAATGAGGTGATTTGGGCTGTATTATTCTGTAAATAATAGTTTTAAACTCCCCTGTGATAGGATATGGTATTTTATTGTACAAGGAGTCCCGAGAAAGCTGCAATGAAAGAATCAGATCTCAGAGCATGTCCATGTTCCATTGGTATGTTACTTACGGTTTGCACAGTGGAAGGTAGGTGGAGAGAAATACGACAGAAGGGGAAAGTAGTGAACCATTCATTACATAGCCTTCCACCTTTCTCAGGAAAGCCTTGGGCCAGTGTCATTTTGGAAGAAGAGGGGGAGTCCTGGAGCTCTGCAGCAGATGGGGGAGTTCCAGGTCTGGGTAAACCTGACAGGGGTCTCCGAGGAGAGCTGAGTGCATTGAGCAGGGGGGTGTGGGCAGGACGGGCTCCAGGGGTGGCTGTGGGTCTCCCGGGTGAGAGTTGTGACAGGTGAGGGCCGTGAGGAGGTTCCTGGCTGAGGACAGGTGAGGTCCATGTGGAGAGCTGGCCGAGCACCTTCTTCTGTGCCACCAGCCTCACCCAACACACACGACGTCATCGTCTGTCCCTGTCACTCCAGTTCAGACGTCTCAGAGTTGCCAGGCCAAGACGTTTGTTTGAGCTTCTTTGTGTGTGTGAAGTTGCAAAACTTAGATGGTGGAAATGACAGGTCATCAGAACATCTGTTACTCTTTTATTTCCTGCTCTTGTTTAAGTCACTGCAGTCAATCGGACCTGCTAAGAGAAGGGGTATCTCTGGGTTATTTCCTATTTTAATTGAACAATGGGAAAATGATCTTTTGAAATAGTAAAAGAATCCTTTGTGGGTGTTCATGTTTTTCTCTTCCATGAACCACATTCTGATATTAGAAATTATGTTTTAAAGTAAACACAGCCTCAGCTGTAACAGGGTGTGGTGCCCTTTGTGAGAGGGACACATGGAGGAGTGTAGGTTCTTTAGGAGCTCGTGGAGTGGCTCATTGTGCTCCCAAAGGAAATTGAGCCCCCTGTTAGCCTTCCCTGGTGTAGGGGGCAGCTTACCTGGTGGCCCATCCTGGGCTCTGGAAGCTTGACCCGGTGAGTCACTTGGGATTTGAACTGGGGAATTTATGAAGAAAACAGAAGGAATGGTGAAGGGTGCCTGCATCCTTTGTAATGGGCAACTCCATGTAGCAAAGGAACTCATCACCCGTGAGGCGTGTCGGGATCCCTGAGGGTGTGGGCTTCACTTCCTGGGCTGAGGTTGTATCTTCATCCTTATTTGGACGAGAGTCATGTTGTGTGGTTATGGAGATCCAGAGCCTTACGTATGGACATTATTATTTTTAAGAAAGAAATATGGACATTTACTTTGAGATAGAAATATCAAATGGAAAACTGCAGTCACATATAGACATGATGACTGAACTTGTGGTATCTCTCATTAGTATCGCTAATAACGTAGAGCTGCCCGTATGAGGAAGGCCAAGGAGTTATATTTTGATAGAAGTGTGCTGTGCACACGTAGTGTTATATTCTGTCATTTGCCTTATTTCTCTGAAGGGAAAATGGAGCGGTGACTGGAGCTTGGTTTCTGACTTTAAGGAATGGGAGACAAGTGAATTTTAAGAGCAGTGTTGATGCTGACATGGTTCTCAGTGCCCAGTGAGCAAAGGTTTGAAGCTCGGACTTGGAAGCATTGGTGTTCAGTGAGGATGTTGTCTGAGTTTCCAGCACATCGAGTCACTTGGCTGGTGTGCCTAATCGGGCAAGTGAGTTCCTGCCTTTCTAAGGGCAGCTTGGAAGTGGCTTGAGACCCTAGGGCATTTGTGGCATGGTCGGGATGGGACACCTCTGTGGGCCAGTGTAGACACCACCCAGGGAATTCCAGAGCTAATGGTGAGCACATTTCTAAGGTTCACCTCAGAAACTGAGAATTTGCTTCTCTGTGAGAAGCACTGAGTTGGAGTGGAAAGAATTCACTGCATCTTTTTACTCACCGTGTGAGCAGGTCTGAGCCTGGCAGGGCCAGTCGGTTCAGACAGCGGAGAGGTGGGCTGTTGCTTGCTCCCTCCCAAGGACAGGGACTGGGCTCCCCGCCCAGCCAGCCCTCTTGCTGCACAAGGGATAAGACAGTTGCTTCACGTTTGGTTCTCAAGCCCACAGCTCAGCAGGGTGGTTGGTAGGAAGCAGTGTGGATCATGCCCAGCCTGCTGCCTGCTCCCTGGGAGGAGCTGCTACAAAATGTCCTCTGCGTGGGTTCTGTGAATTCAGCCAGCAGAAGCACTTCTTCCAGAACCACACCCCTGAGAAATTCTCTCTCCACATTCCGGTGCAGTGTGGAAGAGGTCACTTTTCATTTCGAACTGAAATCTCAGCTCCTGCCCTTAAGTTCTGAGGCCACACAAGACACCGGTCTCTGTGAAGGTCTAGTTCCACGTGGAACCCTACGTGCGAGACTGAGGCCAAACCTGGGCAGCCTGCTGACCCTGCTGCAGGCTCTTTTCTGAAAACTGTGCAGCAAAGCCTGGTTTGTGATGACGTCACAGGAAAGAGGGACAGGTGCACCACTCTGCCTGACCACAGGAGGATTCTGGACTTCAGTCACAGGTGGTTGGTGCAGGGAGGGGAGATGTTTGTTTCCCAGGACCTTGGCCAGAGGGAGATTTGGGTCCTGGAATGGGTCTTTGCTCAGCTTTCTTGGATGAGCACCTCAGGCAAGGAGAGGAAGTGTGAGTGCTCCCCTGTAATCGAGGAAGGTGTCTGGTTTCAGGTTTCACGTGCAGGTGGATTCCTCAAGTAGCTCATTTTCCTGATGGAGTTCAGGGTGCAGTCGGTGGACCCCCTTGTCCCGGGCACCCTGGCTGCAAGAGACCTGGGGCACCTTTTCCCCGGGGCTTTGGACCAGGAAATGGGAGGGAGTCAGTGGTGAAACCGTCAGTGTAGGCCTTCGTTTCTGCCCTGCCGAGATGGACTGGGGACTGTGATAACTGCTATGGAAATACGGAGCAGGAGACAGGGCTGGGGT